GCCACGGATCATGTCACTTCAGATTTGTCTCAGCTAACAGTGAACTCCAGCTACACTGGCAATGAGCAGCTTCAGGTTGCAATGGTGAGTTGTTCCCATTTCTCACACGGTTTTACTGCTTTCCATGTCATCTAGATCACTATACCTTAAACATGTTCTTGTGTGCCTCACATTACAAAAAATTATTAAGTATTTCTAAGTTTACTAGAGACAATAGTGTATTGTTGAGTTCTTTGCTGATCATTGTGTGGTTAAGGACAAACAATCCAAAGTTGTTCTTCTTCAAGGAAAGCTTAAAGATGGCCTTTATCAACTTCAAACACCTTGTCACTCCTCCACAGTCCAATCTGTCTTGTGATCATTCATCTGCCAGGTCTTTAACTCACTATCATTTCCCAATCTAAAGTTTCAGAGTCTTCTACAGCATGTCCAATAATGCTAGTACATTGTACACTCATAAAACTGTTGATATTCCTAATATTTTGTCTGGTTCTGATGTTGCAAGTAGTTTCTCTACTCTAATATTTCCAAGATTCCTACATTTGTATCCAATTGTAATAATGCTACTAATGCTAATAAAGAAGCACAATTCAGTCCTTTCCAGTAGCAAAACTAATAGCATGCTGTGGCAACAAGAGGTTAGGACACCCTAATGCAACTGTCCTTACTAAAATTCTGAATGTTTTACAACCTACTACTCTGTGAAAAACACTATTGAATTTTGTCCAGCATGTCATTTGGTAAACTTCACCAATCAGTTTTTCCTAAGTCAAAGTCTAGAACTTCAGATCCATAGAGTTAGTTTATTCAGATTTATGGGACCATCTCCTATTCCAACACCTGAAGGATTTAAATATTCATACAGTTTCTAGATGACTATAGTGGTTTACCTGGATTTTCCATTAAAAGCTAAATCTGAAACACAATTAGTCTTCCAACAATTTCACAAACTAGCTGAAAGACAATTTAAACAACCCTTGAAATGTGTCCAAACCGATTGGGGAGGAGAATATAGAAGTCTAGTTTTACTTTGCTAACCAAGGAATTGTCTTTAGGCATCCATGCCCCTACATCACCACACAAATGGAAGAGCGAAAGGAAACATCGCCAAATAGTTGAACAAGGCTTAACCTTGTTAGCTCAAGCCAAAATGCCCTTGAAATATTGGTGGCATGCTTTTCAAACTGCCACTTTTCTCACCAACAGATTACCTACACCAGTGTTGTCTAATTCCTGCCCATTTCAGGTTCTGTTTAAGAAAAATCCTGACTACTCTGTTTTCAAAGTGTTTGGCTGTGCTGTGTACCCGTTTATCGACCATACAACTCTCATAAGTTTGACTTTCACACACAACAGTGCACTTTTATTGGTTACAGTATGCATCATAAAGGTTACAAATGTATGGATTCAATGGAAAGATCTATGTGCCAAAGTGTCAAGTTTGATGAGTCCATTTCCCTTTGCTTCAACTCCGTCTGTTTCTCAAGACAGTACTTCTATTTCTTCCTCCTCTTGTGATCACACTCCTATTGTTCCATTTTTCTCCTTTCCAAACTTATCTTCCTCATCTTCCTCATCTTCTGATATTTCTACTAGTTCTTCAGATTTAACCATCATTGCAGCAGAACTCACAAACATTTGAGTCTCCTAGTAAGTCTTTCCCTAATATCTCTGATCCCACCTCTCCATGCACACTGCCTATTCAGCCTACTGAATCTGCCACACCAAACCCTCCTGAATGTACCTCAAATTTATCTATATCTCCTACACAATGCACACTGCCCATTCAGCCTACTGAATCTGCCACACCAAACCCTCCTGAATGTACCTCAAATTTATCTATATCTCCTACACAACCCTCACAACCTTTACACACATACCTGTCTCTTCAACCAAACTACCTGATGGCATTCACCTTACAGTTGAGTTGCCTTTGCTTAAACCCTTACCTACTCATCCTATGATTACTAGAAGCAAAGCCAAACAGCATAGTTCCTTTAATGCTTCCTCCACAAACCATTCTTCTTCTCTTGACACAACTGAACCAACCACTGTTACTGAAGCACTCTCCCATCCCTCCTGAAAGCTGCCATGGAAAGTGAGTTCACTGCTTTGGTCTCTAACAATACCTGGAAACTTGTCCCTGCTGAGTCAAACATGAATATTGTTGGGTGTAAGTGGGTTTTTTCGGCTTAAACACAATCCTGATGTTCTATTCAAAGATACAAAGCTAGATTAGTAGCCAAAGGATTTAGCAGACCCCTGGTGTTGATTACCTTGAAACCTTTAGTCCGGTTATCAAATCTTCCACAATTCGGGTAGTATTGAGTCTAGCTATTACCTATGGATGGGATATTCAACAAGTGGACGTTAATAAGCCTTTTTGAATGGAGAACTCAGTGAGACAGTTACATGAATCAACCCACTAGTTTTGTTGATACTCAGAACTCACTTCATGTTTGTCAATTAGTTAAAGCATTGTATGGCCAAAACAGGCCCCAAGAGCCTGGTTTGAAAAGCTTAAGACGCCTTTCTCAAATGGGGTTTTGTCTCTTCTATAGCAGATTCCAGTTTGTTTATATTCAAGCACAATACTCAGATCTATATGTAATTGTCTATGTGGATGACATTTTGTTAACTGGAAATGATACTGAGTTTGTACAAACCATTGTCCAGAGATTAAACACTGAGTTTGCTCTTAAGACTTTAGGTTCCCTTAAATATTCCTAGGTTTTGAAGTCCACAGAACAGATTCACATATTTACATGAGTCAAGAAAAATATGCTAGAGATCTGCTCACTAAGACTGGCATGCTAGATTCAAAACCTTGCTCTACCCCCATGGCTGTAGGCAACAAGCTAACCTGTACAGACAGTGATATCTTTGACAACCCAGCTCTATATAGAAGCACAATTGGGGCATTACAGTATTTAAACTTTCCAGACCTGACATTGCTACTCTGTTAACAAGTTAAGCCAGTTTCTCAAAGCTCCCACTGAACTTCATTGGCAAGCCTGCAAAAGACTCCTTAGATATCTTAAAGGCACCACAAATTTTGGTCTTCAGTTTACTAAAGTCACCAGGTTTCATTTAGAGTGCTTCACTGATGCGGATTGGGCAGGCTCTATTCAAGATAGAAGGTCCACAAGTGGTTGCTGTTGTTTCTTTGGCCCTAATCTGTTACAATGGAGTTCCAGGAAGCAAAAGGTAGTATCCCTATCTTCTACAGAAGCTATCAGAGCACTTGCCCAAGGGGCAACCGAAATAGCCTGGTTTCGCAGTTTGTTTTCTGAAATTGGTCTAACACTCAGTGAGGTACCTGTTATTTGGTGTGATAATCAAAGTGCAGGGTCCCTAGCTCCAATCCAGTTTTTCATGCCAGAAACAGCACATTGAATTGGATGATGTCCACTATGTCAGAGAACAGGTTGCTGCTCAACATCTTAAAGTACTCTATGTCCCTACTGATCACCAAAAAGCTGATGTCTTTACTAAGTCTTTGTCCACTGCCAAATTTGAACATTTTAGAACAGAACTCACAGTTGGAGCTTGTAGTCAGAAAACTGCTTGTTCTCAAAATACTGACCTGTAAGTATGATTGAAGTTGGCAAAATTTGTTTGAGCAATATTCTGGTGTGATTTCCAGAACAGAAAGCAGTGTGGCTATTGTAATATTCTGATGTCATTTGCATCAGTTCAGAAGGTTGTTTGTTGCAGTTCAGAAGGCTATTTTGTTGCAATTCAGAAATTTGTTTTTGTTGCAGTTCAGAAGGATATTGGTTGTTTTCAGAAGTTTGTTTTTGTTGCAGTTCAGAAGGATATTGGTTGTTTTCAGAAGTTGTTTTTGTTGCAGTTCAGAAGGTTGTTGGCTGTTTTCAAAAATTTTATTTTTGTTGCAGTTCAGAAGGTTGTTGGTAATTTTTTTTGTTGCAGTTCAGAAGGTTGTTTTGTTGCAGTCCAGAAGTTCAGCAGTTTTTTGTGTGCATCAGTTCAGAAATTTGAATACTGATCTGTGAGTATGATTGAAATTGGTGAAATTTGGTCAGCAATATTCTGGTGGAACTCTCAGAACAGAAGCTGTTTGATGTTCTTCCGAAGGAGCTTGGTTGTTGCTTATGTGAAATTTGGTTATGCAAAATGCAGTTTGATCATTACTTCTGTGCAGAAGAAGCTTGGTTGTTGCTTACTTTTGTGAAATTACTTCTCTACAGAAGAAGCTTGGTTGTTGCTTGGGTATAATTTGGCCTCTGATAATGTGCTCTTGTGGAGCAGTTTGGTTATTGCTTCTGTGCACCTATGAAAATGCTGTGCCTCTGCAGAAGAAGCTTAGTTGAAGCTTGGTTGCTCTTCTGAGAAGTTTATGTGAAGTTGGAGCCTATGTCAAAACCTTCCAGTCTCAATTGAGGGAAGATATTAGCATTAGAAAAATTGGAAGAATTTACTCAGTTTAGCTTAAGGGAAGATATCAGTTAAGAAGTTCTTAAGTTGTTAAAGATTTGTTAAGTTTGTTTTACTGCTGTTAGATTTGTTAAAGATATCTGTTTAGTTGTTAAATTTGTTAAAAAGGTTGTTACTGCTGTTAATGCAGTTACGCTTCAGTTGTATATAAAAGGTTTACTGAACACTGTATTGAATTAAGAGAAACTAATATACAGATACAAATATTCAGTTTACTCTCCCTCACTTTACTTTCTTTTATTGTTTTCTTTCTCCCCTGTTCGTGCTCTAAACCTAACATAATCCAAATAATAATCAACATTAAAAAATAATATTTAATTAAAGGACAATTTAGTAGTTTAAATAACATACACATCAATTTATTCCTCCTAACCAAACATATTAATAAAACATACCCATCAATTTATTCCAACTAACCAAACATATTTTTTTAAGGATTTCCAATAATCTTCAAGGTAATCTAACTTTCCAGTAATCTAAGATTCCTAATAATCTAACATTCCCTGCGCTAAACGCACTCTAAAGTTATTTGTTCATGAGGTTTAAGCACTCAAACAGTAAAACTTCAATCTTTTTGGACACGGCTGCGGATCAGGGCAGTAATTACGGCTTCGCTTGATGATAGTACTTGTTACTGCTAATCTATCAGGATCCAAAACCACAGGACTAGTATTGCTACTACGGTTATTGGATGCTCTGATGACTTCTCCAATATCAAAATAATATACTGGACGGAGCCCACACGCTTTTACCTTCATAGTAATGCCTTCATCGGTTTTATCTCCAAAAGAAACACCACTTAGATAAAAAAAATCGTTGTTGGTGAGAAATGTTCCAGAAATGTAGAACAACCAGAGGTGATCTGTCCCAGCCAAAGAATTTAGAGGGACTGACATGGAGACAGTAGGAGTCATTTGTGTGTCCGAGGGTGCAATAGTAGGGATGATTTCCAGTTGTACGTTACAATTAAGTTTCATCCGTTTGTGTGGCCAGAAACCCTTTGGATCATGTACTGAAAAAGCAACACAAAGTGCCAATCCCCTACATCCTCGCATTGGTTGAGCAACTCTTAATGATGACCCTCCACTATGATAAATGAACCAGCTTGGAACTTGAGATCCAGGAACAACAATTTCGAATTCAGGATTTATACGTTCACGTTCTATTCGTATCTGTGAATAAAGAAGAGGCATTATCAGAAGCTATGCGAAAGTGATGAGAGCCAGAATATTATTTTCAGAGGCACAGTTACAATTATGATCTAATAATAATAACATGAAAATTGTTCAACCATGTGAGCTTTTGGAAGGAAGATGAGAGAACATTCAAGAAGAAGAAAATTGGTAATTGTTTCTTGAATATTGGTTAACTAACTACGGCTGAGAACAATCTCAGTTTATATACAAAAGTAAAGTAATACAATTAAAGAGGAAGCTGACTAGAGTCAACTACTTGAAGTAAGGACCAAAATGACAGCATCTTGGATGAAGGCCAAACTTGTAACTTCACTTCTTTTTCCTTTTTGACTTTTGTGGTCAACAAATCAAATCGTCTTACTCATAGTCACAATTACAATTATTTACTAATTGATTTTTCATATGATTTTACAATTAATTAAAATAATGGTTATAATTAAAGATATCAAAACTAAAACTGAAGTCCCAAATAAATAAATTAATTTATATAACCATACCTTTCTCCTACCACATCGAGACCGTCGCCGATATGTACCCCCACTTCTTAACAGCGAATGAAGCACATTTTTTAAACAAGTGACTGTCAAACCATTGGTTCTTCCACTCCCAGCCAGTTTTAAGCAATTAGTCAAATTAAACATTCGTGCTGTTGGTCCGAATGGACCGAATCTACGTGATGAACTTGATATTATTTCCAAGGATGTGCAATTCTGGGCAAATAATCTAACTACACTTGCAGGAAGCTCTGGCAAGGCTTGAAGTCGATCGCAATATTCTAAAAAAAGAATTTCAAGCTTATGGAGTTGACTGATGCTTGGAGGTAAACTAACAAATTTGTTCCTGCGCAGATTTAATTTTATCAAAAATGGTAAGAAGCCAATATCAGAGGGAATTACACCTTCCTGGAGGTTGCAATCACCTAGATCCAGGTGTCTTAAAGAGCATAAACCTGATAAAGAAGAAGGTAACCTCAGCCCCACGGACTCTGGATTTGCTCTAGAGAACAATGGGAACAAGCCGGAGAGAGAACTCCAGGACTTTTGAGGTACTCCTTTGCATCCATGAAAAGATAATTGTTCGAGGTTTTTCAATAGCACAATAGAAGATGGTGGTTGGCTTATAGCAGTTCCACCTAAATCAAGATTTTCCAAACTTGCGAGATGCCCCAAGTCCTCTGGCAGTTTGTCTAGTTTTGAGCAGCCATTGAGATCAAGAACCTTAAGTGTTGCGAGATGCTTTGTATTGGACATGATCTCTCGAACATTACTGAGTTTTGAGCAGCCAGAAAGGATAAGAACTTCAAGAGATTCCCATTCAATTTTAGCTCTCAGACTCCTAAGCTGTTTGCAGTCTTTCAGATTCAATAACGTAAGCTTTTTGAGCAGTCCAATGGACGGGTGAACAAAAGATAAACTTGTACAACCATCAAGAATCAGTCTCTCAAGATTTGGGGTACCAGTGAAGTCTGGGGTCTTAGTTAAGTATGTTGAGTGACTGAGGATAATTATTTTCAACTGGGTCAAATGCTGATAGAATGAAAACAAAAACTTAATTAGAAAAAATCAGTTTCAACAAACAGGAAAAGTGTACTTACATTTTAGACAATGAAACAGAGAGGTACATATGCAATTGAGAATGTTACCTTTACTCCTTTCCAAAGTTCTTTAATGTGGCTGTAACACATGTTAAGCTCGAAAAGTTTGTTGGGTGCAAAATTGGATGGAAAAGATCTTAAGGGGGAGCCATGCCAGTTCAGAAGGCGTAACTCATCTGAAAGAAATTCAAGGCTGTTGTGAGTGAATGCTGAAACGACGTCGTACTGAGTATTAGTGGAACGGTGTCGTTTTGAGACAGCTCCAAGATGATCCTGACGGGTGATTCATAGAAAATCTAACGGATGAAAAACAAGCCACAAGTCAACACTATAAAAGGACTGAGTCTTCGCACAAACGGCAGATCAAAATGCAAGAGAGAGAGCCTGTGTTTTGTATTCTTCGATCTGTTAGGGTTCTTAATTTTCTAGGTCTGATTTTAGTTGTAATCTGTGGGTTTCTTGAGTGGTTTTGGGTTAATCAGTCAAGGGAAGAACTTTTGTGTTCTTGGTATAGGAATTTCCAGGTTAGAGTATTCCTAGGACAGATTACGGGTTTGAATCAGAGTTGTTTGATTTAGGGTTTTGGGCATATTCTTGTAATCGCGACTGTAAGTGATTGTTCAATAATCATAGTGCAACGAACTCCCTTTTCCGGAGTTCAACGTGGATGTAGCTTGCTCAAATAGGGCAAGTGAACCACAGTAAAATCCAGTGTTGATTGGTTGTGTTTTTCTTGATTTTCTTTATGGTTTGTGATTGTTTCTTGATTGATTGCATAACAACGGCTGTGGAAAAGGCTACCACCTTTGATTTTGAGTAATCTTAGATTGCTCATCGACGAAAAGGATTTAGCATTCAATTTTAACTCTTCGTATGCAGGAAAGTCCAGAATTATGCCTTCAACAGCCTTTGTCCCCTGATGAAGAAAGAGCATAATAATGCAATCAGGTGGAGATAATAAACTTGAATACTTTATCTGACATTGTCTATATGTTACATGTTAAATTGACATGATAACGTTTTAACTTTACGGCTTCTTCAAAATCGCATACCTCATTTTTTGTCAACACACGATAAACATCATTAGAGAGCCATAACCTACTACGTTGGCCTGGTTTATTGGGACCCTTTTGGCGAACAATTTCCCTACCCATATATTTTTGAAAGAGAGATTATACCTTTCTCAATCAGAACACTAATTCCAATATCTGGGTGAAAATCACAACTGTCCAGTATTTGTCTTACTACATCTTTGTTCCTTCCTTCAAAGAAGCAAGCAATATCTAGAAATATTTTCTTCTCCGGTTCTTGTAGCCCATCATAGCTTATTTTAAGTATTTTAAAATTCTTTCGTCAGGAACTTCTTTCAATCTATGCAATGCATTTTCAGGCCCGGCTCAAGGGTAGGCAGGTGAGCACCTGCCTAGGGCCCCCCAAAAATAGGGGTCTAAATTTTTTATAATTGTTTTTAATATATTTAAAAATGAAAATGGTGTATGAGTAAAAAAAAAAAAAAAAAAAAAAGGGCCAAAAAGACCCGAATTTATTATAAACTTTTTACATATATTCCCACCAAAAGTTTAACAAAATAGCAAGTTTATACCTCTAGTTTTATATATTTAAATTTACACCCCTAATTTAACACATTGAATTTCTTTTAACAATAAAAAGCTAAAATAGTCATTTACATGTCTCAAATTACTTTACCCCAATTCTATCCCAAAATTCGACATTCACATAAATCATCTCTGCCCTTCTTCCGCCGCCAGCCGTTTGGAGCTGATTCCGATCAATTTTCTCACCTAAATTAATCGAAATCATCACTTTATCATTTCCCAAGTGTTTTTCCAACCTTGATAGCCCTCGATTTGACCATTTTTTTTTTTACGAATCTCATAACCCAACTCCACCGCACACGACAGCCATTTCGGCCTTTTCAGCATGTTCCCAACGTTGTTGGCCTTCCCTGACATCACCATGTTCCTCCCCCCAACCCTCTCACCAAAATCCCTATCATACCTCATCTGTTTACTCCATTAATCACCAGCCACCGATACCTTTTGGGTTACAACTTCTCAAGCCTTTTCTGGCCAATCCAGACATTGGAAATTACCTATTTCACCACCCATCGCTTCTCCAACATTTGCTCTCCAAAACCCCCCACAAACCTGACCCCGTTAGCCTGCCGATCGTCCTCCACTTCTCTTAGTGATTTTGCATCTCAAAAGACAAGAAAATAAATTTGAAATAATTTTTTTAATATATACTTATATTATTAGAAAGCTCCAAAGTAACTCTTGTCTAGGGTCACAGATATTCTTGAGACAGCCTTATGCATCTTTCCACTTAGCTTTACTTCTACCAAACAAGAAGGATCCCAGAACGTTCAGGGCCAATGGAAGGCCACCAGCATAGTCGACCATTTGCAGAGAGAGACCGAAATAATCAGGGGTAGGAAGACAGTTTCTAAAGGCTTTCCAACAAAACAACTTAAGAGCTTCCCCATCATTTAACCCATTGACCATATGCACATAATCCACGCCATGGCTAACAAGCAAATGTCGATTTCTGGTTGTAATGACGATTCTACTTCCCAGCCCAAACCAATCATGCATTCCCGCTAATGCTTGTAATTGTTCTAATTGATCTACATCGTCAAGTATGACAAGAACACTTTTATGCCGTAACCTTCTCATTATCTCTATTGATCCTATGTGAACATCGCATATGTTTATGTTTCTTTCTCCCAAGATTTCAAAAATAAGTTGTTTCTGTAGACGGACCAAACCTCGTGACGTAGGAAAATCTCTAATATTAGCAAGAAAGCTACTACCATCAAATTTATCAGAGATCTCACTAAAAATAGAGCTTGCAAGAGTTGTTTTGCCTATTCCACCCATTCCACAGATCCCTAACATGCAAACATCAGTCAAACCTATATTTAATAATTGATTTATTTGCTTCCTTCGTGACTCCATTCCGACCAGATTGCCATTTGTATTTAAAAATGTAGGACCCAGTTTACTTGATATTTCGTCAACAATGTCTTGAATAAATTTGATTCTTCCCTACAAATGAAAGAAGAAAAAATCAAATACATGGAAAGTTAGCATGAGCTACAAATAGGTAAAGAAATCTTAAGCCAATATATAATTTTCTTTTAATTCGAATTGAATATCAATTCCAATAGATGCCAAAATGTAGAATCAAAATAAGTTGAAATGAACTACTAACAATCTCAGTAACGTGAGCGAGAAACTAACAGTATAAAATAAAAACCAACAGTATGAAAATACATGTATAATTGTTTTAGATGCCCTTGATATTGGCCTTGCTCTCAATTTATGACTTAGCTAACAAATAGATGCATTTGTATGCGGTTAATTAGTTTGAGAAGCTTTCCTTCAGGCCATCAGAACACTGAGAAAAAGATCTCTGCATTGGCTATTTATTTTGAAACGAGTATTGGTGTTACCACTGTCGCAGGATGGCTAGAGTCGTCGTATTGGTGTATGACCGGTTGGATCTAGCTGATCGTTTGCCAAGATGACCTTTTCCAACCAGATCTACTGTAGACTTGGTCGAAAAAGACCAGATTTACAGCTAGATCTGGCCATTGACGGTCAGATTTGGCCACGTTTGGTTGTCAACGACAGCCAAACATATGACCATCATTGACGACTAGCTATGGTCAAAGATCTAGCCATCAACGACCAGATCTTTGGTTTGAAAAGGCTAGATCAGTGCCCTACCGACCAAATCAGTCGGTAGTGCACTATTATACCATATTTCGGCCACCTTCAGGTGGTGGTGGCCGAAATCTAATAAATGTGGGTGGGTGAGGGTGTTTTCGTCAATTTCTAAACTTTTTTCTAGGGGGTGTTTATTAAATTAACAAATTTAGGGGGTTTAAAAATTTAAATAAAATATAATAGTATTTTCATATTAGGGAAACAAATGTTTGTTTGGGAAATGATAGAAATATAATAGGGGAAAAATGGGGAAACAAACGCATTAAAATTCTTTGTATCCTTGCTTCCAATTTTGATTTATAGTATCTAAATTTTTTATATTATTGTGATCAAAATTCTTTGTATCCTTGCTTCCAATTTTCAAACATTTTGAAAGGTAACGCTCGGTATAGCTCTGATAAACAGGTATATGAGTATCTTTTAATCAATAAAAGTTATCCAAATCGAATAAATATAATTTGATATTATTTTAAAACAATTTTGCAGCTCTCCCCAAAAGGAAATTCCTGGTTTCGCCCTTCAACAATAGCATTCTCATATATAAATTTTATTACACAAACAAAGCAAAAAGTTACAAACAGCTAAAGAAAGCAGATTAAGTACAAAAATAAATTAATAAAAACATACTCGTTCTGGCGACTGGAAGAACCTCTGTTTGTTGAATTTGGAAATGGCTGAAGAAAAAATGGCTAAATCAAATCAAGACTTTCAAGAGGAACATATATATATATATATATATATATATATATATTGTTGATGTGCGATTTTTGCACCAACGAAACGCAGGTGTGAAATGTTGTGGTGGCCCAGAAGACACACGTGAATGTAATGGATCAAGGGATAGTAAATGCAATGAGGATAGTTTTTAATGTGGTTCGGATGCTAAGGTAGCAAATCCTACGTCCACTGATGCTTATATTGATGACAAGGGTTAGGTCGCTTTTAGCAGACTGACTTTACAATAATATTACAAGATATTGAATACTAAGAATTCTAGGGAAGAGAGGATAGTTAATTGAGCGTAAAATGGGCCAATCCCCTTTAATGAGAGATGAGCTTCCAATTTATAGTGAGATGTGGTGAGGCAATGATCACTAAATCTTTAAGTTGGTGGGATTATCTGTGCAAATCCTTCTTTATGTCACATTGCCCACCTTCCAGAGTGATTGGCGTGATTTAGAGCAGGCCTTGGACACATGGGAGCACCACAGCTCCTGGCTAGCCTAACGCGCACCCATTATCCTGACGGGAACATACGGTGGTTGTCCCAATGGTCTGACCTTTGTGGGCTGAGTGGACCTGACGCCAGCCCTGGTAAATTTTGGGCATAACAAAAGTCCCCTAGTTTTTAAGGTTTGAGGATTGAACCTTAGAAACTATAGGTCATGCCACAGTGGGATGATTTCTGGAAATTCTAGTCTGTTTGAAAATACATTGGAGTGACATTTTTGTGAACGCGACCTCACATATTCATCGTTTGCAGAGGGCGAGTGACCTGGACTCGTCCGACGTCACACATTGTTTTGATGAGAGGAATACATTTAGTGAAACAATCCTTGCGCTGACAGGTGTGTCTTGTGCGTGATAAATGCTAGCCAATCTCATTTAATACGTTGCATGCTGGAACAACGCACTTTACTAGAGCATTGAATGCGTTGTACATTGGAACGACGCCCCCTATCAGAGCATTAAATGAAGATTTGAAACGCAATTAATGCTCTGGAAGAGGTATGGCCGTCGTTTGAGCTTTTCAACTGGAAGGGTGAAAGTTTGACTTTATCCAGTCGTTTCGTTCACCCTCCTTTGCTGCTGAATGACATGTGGTCGAGATCAACAGCAAGAAATCTTTGCCGCCCAAACGTCGTTCGATTCTGGGAAATCCAAAAGCCAATTCACACGCTATAAAAACCTCAAATCGTTCTTAGGCAATGTCACTAGAGCCTTTTTCACAGAGAGCAAAAGACTTTCAGAAACCAAGAACCTTTGTCTTCCAAACTTGCATTTTTCTGGCATTTGAGGCAGAAACAGTCGTCAAACTCTGAGAGGTAAGAACCTTTTTGTTACTGTTTCGTTATCCCCACGAGTTTGTGGCGTCAGTCTTTTGATAATCCATCGGAGACTAGGCGCTCGCGCCGGGTTCGAGCCATGAATGGCTGCTTGAACCATGCTATTAGGGTTTTCTTTAGGATTTTGGGGGTTTATTTCCTCTCGCGTCATCTTACGAAATAGTGTACAGAAGCCAAATAACCCTTCTGCTTGTCGCTTTTGTAGACTAGCAAAATGGACCCCTCAGCAACCAGATCCAAGCAGGGAACCAGCTCGTCCCCGTAGGGTGCCCCTAGCATCCCTCTTGAGGTTTTCTCGATACTTACTGAGGAAGAGCTCGAGAGAGTAATAAACCAATACGGTATCGAGGTGGATGTTTTCCACGACTGACACATTCGTCGCGATACCCTTCAAGCGGCCTGGTCGCAATCTCCGAGGAGATTATAAAGGGTGGAGGATTTATATCCCTGCACCCTTTCATCAGGTCGTTCCTGAACCACTTCGGGGTTGTGCCAATGCAGCTGACCCCAAACGCGTACGTCATTGCTATCGCAATGTACATCGCATGCCAGGAAAATGGGTTGAGCGAGCTGACCGCCTTGGAGCTCGGCTGCTCATATTTTCTGAAGAAGAGCAAGGACAAGGACTTGTATTACTTATCCAGGTGACCAACCATTGCCGACGGGATACACAGTTATCCCAGCAATGCGGGGGCCTACGAAACGAAGTTTTTCTTCTTTCGTTATAATGGCCATTGCCGCTTCCAGGAACCGAGTATGCTTCTTCCTCTTTGATTGCATTTTTGCTTTATTTTGGCGAACTCATTGCGTTTGAAGTGTGTTCGTTCTAACGACCTGATTTTTTCTTTTTGTCAGTTAACAAGACGATTGAAATAGGGTTACTCCACGATAAGAGAAGAATCCTGCACTTTGGTTCCCTACCCGAGGACAAGCGTGATGCAAAGAAACTTGTGACGACTGAGAACTTGCGAAAATATGATTTCTTCAATGCAAGTGCGTCGTTAGAGCCTTCACCGAGTAAGCTCTGCTAACTGATTCTTCCCCTGGTTGGGAATAGAATGCTTTCACTAGCGTTTTCTTGTATGCAGTAACCATGCCACCGAAGGAGTCAGAGCAACCCCGGTGAAGGCCTCTTAACTTTCCTCGGACAAAGAAAGCTAAGGCTGTCGAAGCTGCTCAAACCGCCCCTTCGATCTAGGGCGCGACCTTAGGCCAACCAGCGCGACCTTTTGGAGTTCCTCAGCAGCCACCTACAAAAGATGCGCCAATGCAAACCGCGAAGGCCTCCCAGTTGTCGCCTGCTCGCCCGAGGATGAAAACGATGGCCCAGCAAAAGAAGAGGAGGCAGATTCAGGTCGAGGAGTCAGAGATCAATCTGAGGGCGAACAGCCAAAGAGGTCGAAAAAGGACGTTGGAAGGAGGTCGGTCAAGGAACCGATGGTCGACGCGGCCGCTGCTGAAGGCGCGAAGAAGGGTACCCCAATGTTGGACTCGCTGGGGAACCTTCCGGAGTACCTACAACCGATGGTTTATACCTTACTGGAATGCGGACTTTCGGAATCATTCGAGCAGTTTGCAAATTTCAACGACGTCGACCTGATGTCCACATCGGTCCAGCATTTAAGCAAGGTGAGTAAACAGTCCTCGATGAGGACTATCATTAGCTCATTTCAATTGACTAACTCTATTATTCTTTGTTCGCAGGCCTTTCTCTCCATGCGAATGTCTCTGGAGAAGGCGCAACTGGGAGCCGCAAAGGGGGAGATTGCGTTGAAGGAAGAGAACACAACACTCCGACGAAGCTTGGAAGCTGTCGAAACGGAGAGAAACTTATCTTCCGAATCGGAGACCAGGCTTCAGAATGAAAGAGACATGGCTCTTCGCACAGTTGACTTCCAGAAGATGCAGCTCGAGAAGTAGGGAGAAGAGGTGAAAGAGCTGCAAAGGACCATAGCCAGACTTTCCAAGCAGGCCGAGGAGAAGGACCAGGAAGTAAAAGCAACCTCCTGCAGGTTGCGCGGGCGCAGCAAGAGAGAGAGGCCTCTGAGAAGTTAAGACAAGTTCTTGAAGCTGAACTTCAGG